GAGAGAGAGAGAGAGAGAGAGAAATCATAAACCAGAGTTTGATTTTTCAGGGAGATGACGAGAGACGTACGGAATGGTGGTAAATGAAATCGGCGAAGCTCGGAGGAAGTTGAGTGGACGCCGGAGAAGGTCGATTCAGGCGGAGAGAACAGGAGGTCGACTTAGGGATCTTAGCTTCAAACTCAATTGGGCGATTTTAAGTTTTATTGAACGACAACATGAAGCCCAATTATTTGAAATTGTAGAGTCCAATCATTTTAATCTAACCCAATTGTAATCTGTAGTAATAAAACAACTCAGGGTTTGACTAGTTTAAACGCAATAGTTGCGGTTGCGGTTGTGAAAGGTTGCGGAAGCTGGCGATTGCGGTTTTAAACGTTATTTAGCGTTTTAACTGACTGGTTAAGCGGTTGAAAACAGGTGCGCTTGCGGCGTTGTAATAAATATTTTATATATTATTTATGGTTATATTTCTTATCGGGTTATAAATTTTTTTGAACCAACATATTTTGACCCCATCAAATAATTTTCCTAGATCCGCCACTGCCCACATCGCTTAGAGCTAAAAGAATGATTGAGGAAGCAGACTATAAAACAAGATGTGGAGCAATTGAGAAAAGTACTTACCTGGACGGGTCGGCTTGTGATCGAAAACACGAGTGGCCTAAGCTATTGCATATTGCTTAGCTTAAGGTCTCCCCAAGTGGGAGAGTCTCCGTCATTATTTGTGGAAGGGACCGCGCGATATTGCTTTCGCGCGGTCCCTTCCATTAATAGTCTCACTTTGTTTTTACATGTTTACATTTTTAAGTTAAGTTATAAGGTAATCTCTTATTAAGAATGTTAAGTTTCGATATGTTATTGATGCGGACATCCAAATCAAACCAAACCGGGAGCATACCAAACCAACCGATACATGTATCAAACCGGTTAATATGGAGCATTTTGGAGGATTCTTTCCCAAATGGAGTCCTAATCAAGCACAAGGCCTAGGGTTAATTATTCACCAGCAAATTAACTCTAAGAAGACTAATGATGGTTCAAGAGGAATCAAAGACCAGCGAGCCGAGTCACCATGTTGTGAGAATTTGACCGTTGCACTCTTTTTCCCTTATCTAGGGTTTGTCCCAATGGGTTTACCTAGAAAGGTTTTTAACGAGGCAACATCAAGTCATCAAGGAGTCATCCACCAAGCAATTGATTCAAAGATGTTACAAGTACATATAGCTAATGTACTTGCTGACAGACCGGCTGAACTACTCGCTGAACTACTTGCTGAACTACTTTCTGAAGTACTGCGCCAATTGAAGTCAAACAAGGAAAGCTTCCTTATTCTACATTTGGACGTGCCTCAAAGCTTTATTTGGCGACCTGGAGAGTATCTAGATCACTTAGAGGCTTCACTACACGCTCTAAGATACACCACACCACATTTGATCAAGCGGATCAATTATGAGCTCTACTTACCATATTTGGACCCGATTGTCATCAATGTCCCGTGGATCTTCCCCCTTTTGTTTGAGCGTCCACTTAAGATATTCCAGAGCATCAAGAAGCTTCCAAGACGTCACAACTTCCTCCCCAAGTTGACAAGATACAAGGCACACCTCACTTGCCTTATTTGGACATATTCTACAATTAATGTCCAACGGCCATATCTCTTTAATGCTGCGATTTATTTCTTGTTTTAGAGTAGTAGAATATTGTACATGAGCCTATATAAGCTCATTATTTCGTTCATTGTAAGCCACCCTTGAATATTGAAAGTTAATACAAAGTTTGTTCTTCTTCACAAAGTTTGAGTCTTTGTGTGTTCTTATTCATTAGAGTTTAAGTGAGTGATTCACTTCTATTCTCTTGAAGCCTCGGATCAGCTTGTTTGAGTGATTCAAACAATCTAGTTCGACCACCGATTGAGCGAGTCAATCACCCCTTTATCCATCATTTCCCCTTGAATTGATCCCACACGAGAGAAGCGACCGCCATCGTGTCAGATTTCCATCTTCGACCATCTTTCCTTCACAAGAGAGAAGCGATCGCCAGCTTGTGAAGCCGCCATATCTATCCCATACAAGTCTCACCACCGATTCTTGTATCATCTGGTATCAGAGCATTGGTTTGCTCGTCCCTTGCCAGGTTCTATCGTTTCCTTTATATTCTGCATTAGTTTCTGAATCAGTTTCTGTACTAGTTCAGTTTCTGTTTATTTAATTAAAAAAAAAAAAAAAAAAATTCTCGTTTAGTTTATTTCCTTTTCGTAATCTTATTAGTTATAATCATAAAAAAAAAAAAAAAGAAAATAAAAATCAGTTGGTCCTTTTTTTGTTTGAATTAAAAAAAAAAAAAAAAGAAGACTTCTATTTTACTTTCTTGTCTTAATTTTTCTTTCCATATTTTCTGATTTGAGAATTGATACGCTTCCTTCTTTTTTTGTTTTGCGAGATCTTCCATCAAGAGAAAACAGAGGAAACGCCATGGAAGATTATTCAGAAGAAGAAGAAGGACTTTATGAGTCCAGCCCCTATGAATCCGAGTTTGATGAGCCAAGCCAAAGTTGGCTTGATGAAGAGGCTTCCAACGAAGCACCACCATGGCCTGGAGATGATTACATCAGTTCTGATTGTGGAGAAGAACCGGATGATGAAGAACTGGCACCAGAACCAGAACTGCCTGACTCATACAACACCAATAAAGGCTATTCTAAACCATGGATTACATTTAATGATGATTTTTGCAGCCATGGTTCAAAATCTCCATTGACTCGAGGTATTTCTTTTTCAGGAAAAGAGAATTATCTCAAGTGGGAAGAAGACATGGACTATAAAGGGGCAACAACGAAGGGATACCATTACCAACGTCCTCGAAGGCGTGAAGAGAAGCCCGACCACCATATCTTGTCACACCAAGGGCCTACAACCTCACGTCCAACAAAACCAAGAGACAAACACTTTCACACAAACCCACGAGTAGTACATGAAGTAACTCAAGAAGTGACTCAAGGAGCATCAATTTGGCCTAAACCGCATCCCCGTGGTAGACGTGACTACCTAGCTGAGAGAGACTCAAGGACCAGTAAGCTAAGAGGAGGCAAGCTGAAACATGGCGTTAGTCGAGACCCACTGTTATCCAATCCCACCCGAAGCTACAAGACAAAACTCAGGTTATCTCTAAACAATGGTTATGAATATTTTGGACCTGAATGTTTTGAGTTTACAGGACGTGAAAGAGATTATCTGCAATGGGAACTCAACATGGATAAGTACTTTAGGTACTATTCCATTCCCAAAGAAGAGAGGCTCAACTATTGTCTTGAACAACTCATGGGAAGCGCAAAACGTTGGTGGGACCGAGAAGAAAAAGATAGACGATGGTTCAAGGAGCCAGCACTTAAAACGTGGGGACAACTAAAGTTGCTTATGAGGGAGAGATATGCACCTCACATGCTTTCCCAGCCTGTTCAAAACACTTACCTTCCAAAGGAACCAAGCCCCATACCAGTGCTTGAACCACATGCTGAACCACACGCTGAACTACAACAAGGTAAGTCCTCTAATTCTTTAAAATCAAATGAACCAACATGCTATAGATGTCATAAGAGGGGACATTTTGCTGCAACTTGCTCTAAGAGACAAGTAGAGGATGTCATACCACTAGAGCTGAAAGTGAATGCATCTAACTCCAATGATTGTTTAGTGAATTCAAGTTTAGATATTCCCAATTCTAGATTAATGCGCTTGTCTTTGCCAAAGGTTATTGATGCAGGTCTATGTTGCATGGATGACACATCTAAAGAAGTAGACCACAACGCAGCAACTCTAAAGGAAGTTGAGAATGGCATAAGTTTTGAGGAAAAACTTTCGGAAACAACAACAACATCACAAGTTTGCCGAAATAAGATGTATGATCAAGCAGCCCTCAAAGGACGTGTGATGATACATCCATGTTCAACACCAGCTGATCTTGCTTCTAAGATCATCCACATCAAGGCTGAATTGATACCGAACACCTTACATGGTACACAAGTAAGCGAAACTTACTATCTTGTTCGATATTGGCATTATCTTATATTCGAAAGGAGTTTCAACAACCCTATCCATATCATTTCAAGTATGATGCACTTGATCTTGTCTTTGAGTGCCAGTGAAAGTACAGGTACCATAAAGATTTGCGAAGATCAAAGAGAAGCCACAACAATGTTACGGTTACTCTCGGATCAAAGCAAACAAGAAGTTGATTCTGGTCTAACACATGAAAAGGTTCAAAGTAACTTATTTCATTATGTTTATGAACGTCCCTTGACTGCCTTAATACACTTGTCTTGTGCCAAAAGTGTTGAGACCCATGTAGGTAATAAGGAGACACATGTGGATCCAAAAGAGGGATCAACAACGAATGATGTTGTGCAGCAATATCAAGAGCTTTTGATGTGCAAATCTGTCTCTAAGGAGAATGGAATTGTTACCAACAACATCCTGCTGCAAGAAGAACCACCGGACCAGCCATCAAATCAACAAACCAAGTTGATTTCGAAAAATACACTCACCGAGGATCTAAGTCAGGTAAATAAGCTATTACTTCTAATTGTTTCTAGCGATTCGAATGATGTGATAATAAACTTGTTAATCCTTAAAGAGTGTGAGAAAATAGTAGATCTTTTAAATAAATCTATGGAACTAATTTCTTGTCTTAGGACATATCAAGTAGCTGATCTACTTTCTGACATACTTTCTGAATCACTTTGTGGAAAAGAAATGGTTCAATCCGAAATTGGTTTACTTGTTTATATTGATCCCATGACTGTTTTAATGCACTTGTTTCTTGCCCAAAGTGTTGATGAACTTGCAGGTACCAACAAAAAACACATGGAACATAAAGGTGATTCACCGGAAGTGAGGAAAGTCAACGACCAAATTCAAAACCAAAGTGAACCAGCACCATTGATGCTAACACCCTCTATCATGAAGACTAGAAGAGTTTCAAACTCTTGCTTAATCAAAGAGGAACCGCCGGATTTTAAAGCTCAAGCCCAAACCCGAGGAGGAGTTAATCAAGAAACACGACAACTACAAGCACCGGATCAAAACAGAGGAGTGATCCTATCTTTCTTGCTCAAAGGAGAGCCACCCGATGCACCATGCATCATCAAACCGCCACCCTACCAAGGTAAGACCCTAGCCTCCCAAAATCGAATGAAAGCTAACTTGCTTTCTCTTGGTGCAGATTGTACAGTTTCGAGGTCGAAACTTTTTCAAGGGAGAGGGTATGATGCGGACATCCAAATCAAACCAAACCGGGAGCATACCAAACCAACCGATACATGTATCAAACCGGTTAATATGGAGCATTTTGGAGGATTCTTTCCCAAATGGAGTCCTAATCAAGCACAAGGCCTAGGGTTAATTATTCACCAGCAAATTAACTCTAAGAAGACTAATGATGGTTCAAGAGGAATCAAAGACCAGCGAGCCGAGTCACCATGTTGTGAGAATTTGACCGTTGCACTCTTTTTCCCTTATCTAGGGTTTGTCCCAATGGGTTTACCTAGAAAGGTTTTTAACGAGGCAACATCAAGTCATCAAGGAGTCATCCACCAAGCAATTGATTCAAAGATGTTACAAGTACATATAGCTAATGTACTTGCTGACAGACCGGCTGAACTACTCGCTGAACTACTTGCTGAACTACTTTCTGAAGTACTGCGCCAATTGAAGTCAAACAAGGAAAGCTTCCTTATTCTACATTTGGACGTGCCTCAAAGCTTTATTTGGCGACCTGGAGAGTATCTAGATCACTTAGAGGCTTCACTACACGCTCTAAGATACACCACACCACATTTGATCAAGCGGATCAATTATGAGCTCTACTTACCATATTTGGACCCGATTGTCATCAATGTCCCGTGGATCTTCCCCCTTTTGTTTGAGCGTCCACTTAAGATATTCCAGAGCATCAAGAAGCTTCCAAGACGTCACAACTTCCTCCCCAAGTTGACAAGATACAAGGCACACCTCACTTGCCTTATTTGGACATATTCTACAATTAATGTCCAACGGCCATATCTCTTTAATGCTGCGATTTATTTCTTGTTTTAGAGTAGTAGAATATTGTACATGAGCCTATATAAGCTCATTATTTCGTTCATTGTAAGCCACCCTTGAATATTGAAAGTTAATACAAAGTTTGTTCTTCTTCACAAAGTTTGAGTCTTTGTGTGTTCTTATTCATTAGAGTTTAAGTGAGTGATTCACTTCTATTCTCTTGAAGCCTCGGATCAGCTTGTTTGAGTGATTCAAACAATCTAGTTCGACCACCGATTGAGCGAGTCAATCACCCCTTTATCCATCATTTCCCCTTGAATTGATCCCACACGAGAGAAGCGACCGCCATCGTGTCAGATTTCCATCTTCGACCATCTTTCCTTCACAAGAGAGAAGCGATCGCCAGCTTGTGAAGCCGCCATATCTATCCCATACAAGTCTCACCACCGATTCTTGTATCAGTTATATTTATTGTTTTGGTATACAATCCCACATCGGAAGAATATATCAAGTTAATATGTTTTTTTTTTTTTTTTTTTTTTTGATAAACCCTATCGGCTATCCGGTCGGCCCCGGTAGGAACGCACCGAGGTGCTACATAGTGGACTGGTCCACCGTGTTAACGGCTAGGCCCTTCGGGCTACCACTCTGCCTATCCCGAGTTTAGAATGCCTTCCGACTAAGTGCCAGGAGATAGTTAGGCCGCCTGCATTTCTGACTACCAGGTAAACCAATTGGACCAAAGTCCAACTGACAGACTTCCCACAATAATGTTGATAACAGCATGAGGGAGGAATTGAACCAGGCCCGGCTCACTCATCGGTAAGACCCGGTGCCATACAAAAAAAATCCTATCTTTAATAAAAAATTTATATATATATATATTTACAAAAAGTTATATTTCATAAATTATTTTGTATTTTATAGCTATTTGGACTTGTTATTTTTGTTTATTAATTTTGGGCCTCAATATTACCTTTTAAAATAGAATTTTGGGACCTTTACATATAGATATTTTATAAAATTTCAGCATAATTAAATAGTTAAATAATAGAAAAACTATGAATTTGGACCTTAAATTTGTTGGACCCGGTGCAAATGCACCACTTGCACATGCCAATAACCGGCACTGAATTGAACCATGGGGAAGAGGGAGTTGCACCCATCCACCTTGGGCCTACCAACCACCAGCCCACCATCATGTGGGCATCAAGTTAATATGTTTTGTTTTGATATAAGATAAAGAGGCTTTTGATGAAAGAAATTTATCTTTGCGCTTGGGGCAATGTCGCAGCTAATGAGGTTCTAACCGAGGCACGTCTATTGCTGGTTGAAAACTATTTTCAAACCCCCTCCTAGGTCTAAGTTTTTCTTCGGCCTTCGAGAATTTCTGGAATGGCTCCCTTCGGGGTAAAGCCCTACAATTTTCAGTTCAATTTTGTTTTTTTTTTCAATTTATGGCATTATGTCTTTTTCTGACCTAGCTAGATATAGGGATCTTAGGGCTCGTAACTATAAAAGACATGAATATATGGTCTTTCGCATAAAACACAAGTGTTGTCTACTACAAGCTTGGATAGCATATTGTTATGCAAAACGAGACTCACTAAGTGGTAAACTGAGAAAAGAAAAAAGAGAAAAGAAGTTGCTGAAGCCATTGCTTAGAAATCCTCGGCAACACGAGTATTTGGTTATAGCACCTTTAAGTCACGATAGGGTTTTCTATCTCAGTTTTGTAGAACATCAAGCTTTTTGCAAGTTAGACAGTTTTCCATAGAAAAAATTTAAGTGGAACCTTTTAACTATGATCAAATAAAATAAACGTAAATATATATGTTTCAAGAACTTGGTTTTTAGACAATAGTTTCGATACAGAAGAAAGTAAGGATCGAATAAGACGAAGAAGAACCATTTCATATAATGTATACAAACGAAGTGATACATCTATTAACGTGAAACTGAAGATGTTGGGGAAGAAGAGTATAGATAGGGTCTTACTTAAGAAAACAGAATGGTAACAAATATAACAAAAATAGGACGTCTTGTTCCTCTCATTAGTGTGTTTCCGTAGAAGTAGGTTTAGCCTTAGGTTTCTTGACGATCATAACGGAGCAATGTGCGTGATGAGCTAAATAATCACTCACACTCCCCAAAAACACCCTCTTGACAGCTCCATAACCATGGCTACCAAGGACAATAACACATGCATGATGTCTCTCCACGGCTTCCAACATAATATTCCTTGGATCTCCTTCAATCACCTCCAAAGACGAGATCTCAACGGACTTAGCCGAGCACACTTCGGAGCACTTCTTCTTAACCAATTCTGCGGTCTTGTTTAAATCTTGTTCCACCATTGGTATAATATCCACCGTTCCAGGACCAGCAACACCGAGGAAGGAGGTCGCTGTTGGTCGTCCGTGAACAACGACAAGTTTGAATTGTGGGTTGGCCTTGAAAGGTATGAAAAAGAGATCAAGAGCCGTCTCGAGTGCATGGTAGCTATGGGCTGAATCATCTACTCCTACGACCACCACACGCTCACTTCCACTAGCCATTTTTGATTCTCTTTAGCTTTCTTGATTTGCTTTGTGATTGTAGAGTTGATGGAAAGTGATCTCTATTTGAATGAGAAGTGAGCGGCTATGATGTGGTCGAGCGTTGTTTGTGGAACCGATAGTCACGCAAGGTCTCTTGTTACTAAAAAGGGTCGGTTTAAATACTTAACTTTTTGTTAAAGAAAAATTTAAATAGTCATGAGGTGTGCTTTGCTTTCCCGATTATATCGGTCTATTAAATTTTAAAGAGTTTGACCGAGGTGTTTTTATTTTGTTTGGGGTTTCGTTGGTTTTATATGAATAAACAAACCAAAGTTGGAGAGAGCTTAATTAAATTAAATACCTATAAATTTTTTTCTCCATTTCATATCAATATTCTTAACGGCCTTAGAGAAAGCGGGTTTGATACAAAAAGATTTTTGTTGTTTTCCAACATATATAATATATATGAAAGATATAATATCAATATTTTTGTTTTTTAGAAATTAATATACTATACCAAAAGATTTCACCTCAAAGCGTAGAGGAATCAACATTTGCAATTTACGAATGTTCTCATCTATACTCATCTAACTTTTAGTAACTGATATTGATGAATTTTTTTGTAATCCCCATAAAATACAATATACCACACTTTATTCACCAAACACAAATCAAATAATCCAAACTTACTTTATTTTCTAGAAGATTTCTCAAATAGCACGCCTTCTTCTATATATAGACACTCGTTTATCTTTTTCCTCCTTTGTAATTTTCACACTTGTAATCTCATCTATTACTCGATATATATTGCACACAAGTTGCGCTATATATACACCCACAATTTACATAAACTATCAAGAATAAATAAAACAAAGTACCACCACAAAACTAACATGGCAAAGCTCATTATCATCCTCGCGGCACAAATCATCCTCCTCGGCGCAACTGTTACTTCTGCCGGAAAAAACGGTGAAGAGTTTGCAAGAACAATCGTGATGGTACTCCCATTATACTTACCAGTCTTGTTCTTGCAAACTCTTCACCATTTTAAGACTGGTAAGTATAATGGGAGTACCATCATGATTCTTGGTCGTAATACGGTGTTATCCAAGGTTAGGGAGATGCCAGTGGTTGGAGGCAGTGGAATGTTCCGGTTTGCTAGAGGTTATGTCGAGGCTCACACCAAATGGTTTGATATTAAGACTGGTGACGCTACTGTTGAGTATAAGTGTTATATCTTGCATTATTGATGGTGCCTAGAAATCCACCCACTTAATCTAATGGTCGTTTTTGTTTGAGATTATTAGATCTCATGCCCTTCACTATTCAAAAACTTACACATTGTGTCACATTGCGGAAAGTCTTTTAAACTGTACCATAGCGTCGATGTAAAATATCCCTTTTGCCCTCATTCCTTGTTCCAACGCACACTGTTGAAATAGTCAGCGGAATAGAATTAATTCTTTATTTCTCGTCTGTAATTCTTTATTTCAGGTCTACGGCTTGGTCCAACCTGTCATTCCACTGATAGACATTAACATGTCCACGCAATCCATCAGATGCTTCAATGTCCTCGCATTGTGATCATATAATAGACAACCGTCTTCATAATAAATTGTCTATCCAAACTTGTCTACGGTGTTGCCCAACTTGTCATTCCATTGATAGACATTAACATCTCCACGCAATCCATCTGATGCTTAAATGTTCTTGCAGTGTGATCATATGATAGACAACCTTATTCATAATAACTTGTCTACAAAAACTTATCTACCAAATCTTGTCTACGGTGTGGCCCAACTTGTCCACGCAATCCATCTGATGTTTCAATGTCCTCGTAGTGTGATCATATGATATACAACCTTATTCATAATAACTTGTCTATGGAAACTTGTCTACGACTTGGTCCAACCTGTCCTTTTATTGATAGACATTAACATGTCCACGTATGCTTCAATGTTGTCGCTTTGTGATCATATGATAGACACCATTATTCATAATAACTTGTCACTGAAACTTGTCTACGTTTTTCACCAATTAGTCCTTACAATCTATAGACATTAAATGTCACTGTCGTCGCATTGTGATCATAAAATAGACAACATTATTCTTAATAACTTGTCTATCAATGATGTTATTGTCTACGCTTTTAGCATTCTTCTATAGGAACACATATCTTGTCTACAAATTATTGTCTTTCTTTTTGGTTCACCATCCATGTATTCTGGTTCTGTATATAAATAGATAACATTTCCATCATACGTGTCCTCAACAACATCTTGTCTACAAAAAACTTTCATTTTTTACCTCTTTCTTCTTTCATTATCTCTGCAGATTAACTTTATTTCAAACAAAGTTTTACAACCTACTTAATTTATTACGTTTTGTTTATAACAACCTAGTTTGTCCTCTCTGTGACATGGCTTCATTAAATGCCTCTCTAATCAAAACTCTGACACGTCCAATTCCACCAGCCAATTTTACACTTTCGCGGGAAAAAACACCAGGGATATTTTTGTCTTTCCATTGTTGCCATACACCCTAAATGTGGCACGTTTTGAAATACAAACGTCAAAGTGGCGTGGCCCCAAAGAATTTCATGAAATGTGGCACATTGAACAAAATTCCCTTTTTGTTTTGTCATTCATTTTTCTATTATTTTTAATTAATCACTATGTGAACTACCGATTAATGCGCGGATTATTTTTAGAATGAATTTGGGCAGAGACATTATTGGGACATAAAATTAAGAAAAAAATTATTAGGCTGGATTGTCGTAGACGGCAGAAAAATAATGGTAACTGTTTTCGTCCTGCGTGTGGGGGAGGGAGAGAAAAATCTGACATTAATAAATGTTCAACAGTTAAATTGATCTTCACGCGGCAACAGATAAAATGAAGTGATAGTTATTAAATTTTAATTTGGATCTATAACAAAAACATATGGACGAAAATTAGAAAATTTAAACCACTAATCTAATTGCATAAATATCTATTAATATATTTAGCGCTATATAGTTCGATATATGACTCTATAAAAGTGTACGAACATGTAGCTAAATTTATACTCCCTCTGTTCTTTTATAAGTGATGTTTTAAGCTTCTAATTTTGTTTTTAAATAGATGATGTTTTCAATTGTCAATGCAAAATTTATTGTTTTTTTATTAGTTTTGACAATTTATATTCTGTATATTGATTTCATATTGGTTGATTAGATAATAAATAATGTTTTAGTTTAGAAATAAACAAAAAGTAAATAATTTCTTAATCTATGTGTATTCTCCTAAAACATCACTTATAAAAGAACGGAGGGAGTAGATAACTACTCTGTCTCTTATAGTAAAAATTTACTCTACCATGCATTTAAATTTGATTTCCATTCTAAAACTCATTAACACATTCAAAAATTTGAAGTATGATCATTTTAAATTTTGTTTATGTTAAAAGTTGAATTATATTATTATTAATAATAAAAATTTCATAGTATTACTTTTACTATTTTATATTTGATTTATTATATTTAATTCGTTTTTATTTAATTTAAATTTATATCAATTATAACTAACATCAATATAAATAAATATGAATTAAATGAACATTATAATTAGTCTTTAATGTAAAAACTAGAAAATATTGAGTAGTGACATGGCTTTTTTTAATTGGATGTTTAACATGATGATATGGACACCTTAAGATGAGAGAAAACTCTCCCATTATATATATATATATATATATATATATATATATATATAGATTGTTATTATTATTTTTCTAGAAGATAGATTATAACGGTTTTGAATTTTGATTTGTTTCTATATTTTTTTGTCATAAAATTGTTAATATAGTTTCACAAAAAGGGTGACTCTTTCAATGTCTTT